ATCTGTTGAAGGAGTAGAGGCCAAAATATGGCAGGTTTCACTACTTGTGTTGATTTTTGTAATTTGGAAGGCGGCGGAAATTGAGCTCCAACTAATGCTGGTTGGTGGCTGCACCATTCTCGGGCTCTCGAGAAGTGGAAGCTGACGAAGAAAGTGCTGATCAGTGGAAGTTGCACCATTCTCATACATATATTAAGAAATCTTTTCCATGCTAAGATTAAGAAGATTGTAGATTGGTGGTGCTATAGTGCTTTACTCCTTGATGAAATGAGGAACAGAGATGAGATTGAGCTTGTATGTGCCTTCTACGTGAAAAGTTGATTTGATTACGTTAATTGAAATTTAGTAAATAATTGTGGCAATTGAAGTTTCGGAATTCTTCTATTAATTTACTTGTCAAAGCGAAGGGAAAAAGGAATATATAGAAAAACATGATTTTTGTTATTGCATGAAGTGAGACTATACTAGTGTGTAGGTTAGACAAATATTTAAAAAAAGAGCATCTGCATCTCAAGTTAAAACTGTATAATATGCTACATTTTTAATTTTAAATTCAAATTTGTGACTCCAATGGAAGAAACAAGTTGCACGAGCTTGTTAATGAACAAGGTCTATATAGTCAAAAACCTGTGTGGTTCATGAACAAAGATTCGAACTTGAGCTGGTTCATGAACAATTTCTCATTTTCTAGTAAAATTTTTGTTTGTACATAGAGAACAGAGCAACCAGTTCAACAAATTTCTTTATTATTAAAACTTTGTATTTTTTGACCAATTGCTTTTTAATTGTATAGATGTACTGAGCTTCACAAATTTCAAAATGTATATATTATTTAATACTATATTAACATTAAACTATTAAAATTAATTGAATAATCAGATTTATTGAGTAAAATATTATAATTTTTTTTTTCAAAATTTCAAAGTAAATGCGTTTTCCATTTTTATGTTTTGTAAAACAGTTTTTCAAAATAACAAAAAGAACGCATTTTCAACAATTTTAAAACAGACACTCAAAATATAAAATACAAAATGAATTCAAAATACAAAACTGAAACACAAAGAGAACGACCCCATATTTTTTGGAGAGTTTTGTCAAACCTGTCATTGAACTTTTAGCCTATGTTGGATGGTAATTATAAAAAGAAATTGGGAAACTCGAAGTTTTGAATAGTAATTTTTTCAAAAATATATTATTAAAAGGTGAAAAAAAAAATTAGATTTACGT